GGGTTACCCCATTTTTCAAGGGTAAGAAGGAGACTCGCTGAACCTCGCAGCGACTCTGTGAGGCACCCGTGACACATTGGTCTTTTCTGTGGTACCTGGGGTCTCCCGACCCCGAAACCGGGAAGAAAAAAAAACGCCGGTGATTTGGCTGTGGGTCGAAAATAGGTACTCAAAATGGAGCCCTAAGTGGAGAAGCAGACGAAAAACCTGCGGTCCACTTCCTGGTGGTTTAATTTATTTTTTCGGATCGAAGGCGAGCAATCGAGTCGCTTCCTGGAGCTTTCCGAGCTTCTGGCGCTCACCTCAGTGAGCGAGAGGGGGGGTTGGTCTTGTTGCTGGTTATGGGGGACCCGGTTCTTCCAACAACAAAGGGTTGATTCCTTGTCCATTCTTTCCAACCATCGTTCTTTTCGAAAACCGGATCCGTTTCCCTGGGTCTCCGCAGGTCTAGAAAGAAGGATCCCTGCAAAGAATGGGGAAGGTAGCACTAGACACACGGCTGTTGATTGGACCCATCAACCAAAAGGGAAACTGGAGGTCGAACAAACGGCTTGGTGCTTGGACAAACCTTGTCCCTGTTTTTTAGTGGACCCCCGTACAATTGTTGGGGGGGGTTTTCCTTGCTGGTGCCTGAGAAATGGAATGACCCCAAAAAAAACACACAAAAAAAAACATCCATTTCCGATGTAGTTTTCTTTAAGGACATCCCCTTCTGGTTCATTCCCTGCTGAGCACCAGCAAGTTTTCTTCGATGTTCCTCTTGAAACCAACCAAATAATTACCCTCCAACAAAAAAAGACACGCCCGTGTTCCGGATTAAACCCCCGCGGACGGGGAGGTTCCCTCAAAAGTGACCATTTTGGGGGACCCGTTCCCCAGGATCTGGGACCATCCGGATTGCTTGCCAAACAGCGCAACCGCTTTTGGAGGTTCAAGGGAGACTCTCTCCAAAGAGTTGAAAAGGCTGCATCTCATAGGAATCGCAACGACCCGAGTCGACCCCAGCCCCCAATCTTTCAGAAAATCCCTTGAAGAAACGAGGGACAGCTCCTCATCCGATTGAACCCGGGTGTCTAAAAATACCCACACGCTTCGGAAGAGCTAAAGTGTGAGGCACTCAAAATCCGAGTCTACCCAAACCTGCACAGTACTGGTCCCAATATGGCGGCGTGCTTGTTTAGAAAAGAATATCTTTTGAGTGGCCCAAAGTTTATGCGGCCTGTGTATGGGGGCCTTTGCTGGTCAGGGTCCCAAATATTGCTGGTTACCCCCCCCCCCCCCCCCAAACACCCGTTTTAAAACGCCGGGGATGCGCACAAGCAATGAACCATAAGTTTCAGTCCGTTTGGCTCATTTAGATATCACACTTCGGGTGTAAGCCCTTTGTGTACAAATGTTGGAAAGTCCTGGGGTCAAAACAAACCAGGCATGAAAACCCTATTGTTCGGGACCCCTTGGCATGGAAACCAAAACATGGAACCCAAAACTTCCATTTGCTTCAGTCCGGAAAACATACATGCTTCTTTCCAGTATAGTGATAGCCCTTTACTAGACAACAACGGAAAACACTAACCAAAAACAGCAGAGAACGATGGAACTGTTCATATTTCCAGTGATAGATTCCCTTGAAATCCAGGGGGAAACGGGGGAAACCGCAAATGGCAGAAAATGGAACCCGCGACTGGCCCTCGACCCTTACGGCAAAACTCTGGGTCTCCGGGCTGGCGTTGCGACCGAGACCTCCCCAGTACCCTCCGATGGGGTCGCGTAGGATTCCTGAAGGACCCAATATTCGAGGACCCGGAGGGCCTGGAATTCAAAAGGGCTGCAGACTTGTTTGCCTTCTTCGGGGTAGTTTCATCATGATGGATTTGTTGTTTGCTTGTAAAAGTTTGTTGGGTCGTGTGTCTGAGTTGTTTGTTTTTTCCACCAACATTTGCCAAACACCCACGAAACACCAGGAGTTCGTGTCCAATCAAATTGGACAAACAAACAAGCGGGGATACGGAGGGAGCGGGGATATGACTCCCTGTCGCCATTTCCCATGTCCCATACCAAACTTAGTCAAGGTGCATCAAACGGGGGAATCCTCAGCCGTATCCAACTACACACAAATGTAAATTTCCCACCAGAGAGGAAAAACAACCAACAAAAACAAAAAACAGCCAGCCCCAAATGGTTCCCCCTGTATCCCTGCTACTTGGTTTCCCTGATCAATGCCCTTTCCGGCTTGGACTCATGGAAGCGACTTTGGGCTTCGGACTTGAGCCTGACTCTGACTCATGGCAGGTGAATCTTGGTTCCCAGGCATCCGGTACCTTAGGTCTTCAGCTTTTTCGTTGGTTTGGCAGTTTCGATACTGTGGATGGACGAAATCCTGCACCACTTTGAAACCATGGGAAGCCATTCTTTGTTGGTATTTACAGGGGAATCATTCATTCCAGGGTTTCTTAGGTGGTGCAGGATTTTGTCCATCCACAGTAGGAAATCCTGGCTAAAGCTGCCAAGGTGGCTTTGGCACAAACCAAATTTTGACCAAAATCCGACCAAAATACAAGGGGCCTGGTCACCTGGTCTTTCAGGGCATGTGGTGATACTTGAACAAAAACGCCAAAACAAACATACCCACCATGTGGGCCGGTTCTCCAAATAAGATACTTGCACGCTGTCTTGTTGCCTTATCAAGAAGAAGATCGGCCACAAAGGCGCGTGTGGGAGTGTCAAAGCACTTCAAACTCACGATTGAAACAAGGAAGAAGGCCCAACATATTCAGAGAAAGGCAAACCGCCTCATTTGGCAGGGGTGGACATCATACCCAAGCTACCCAACATGGGGCATTTACGGGCGGTTGTGCCCACCCCATGAATCGCTCCTCGGCCGCGGAATCCTCCGCAGCCTTCGACGCGAAAGGGCGCGCAACGTTTGGGGCCCTTCGGGGGCTGAAAAGGCCGTGGGGCATAACCTATGGCTCCATTTTGGGGTGGATGAACATCCATTTGCCACCTATTTCGATGTTCACCAGTGCAGGGTTCTGACCCAAAGACAGAAGGCGTGAGTCAGGAAACTCCCAACCCGTCCAGAAACCCCGAGCAACCACAACTGATTGAAAAAGCAGTCTCAGGATGGCAGTGAGCTTCTTGTCCATTTGGATAGCAACTGGACTTGGGGACGCGTTGGTCATCATTTACACACGAGGCTGGGTGCTAAATAGGGGGTTTGGAAAAAAAAAACACGGACCATCCCCTTTTGGCTTTCCATGGGGATGAACATTCATGGGCTTAGCATGTGGTCCCCTTTCGGGGGTACCCTCCACACTTTCCAAGGGTCGAAGGTCTACCGAATTTCACGACGGATTCCTGCGGGAACCCTCAAAATGGTTCTCTTCTGCTGGCCCTTACCCTCCAGAAAATGTTCAGAGCGCGCCGCAGCCACATAAAAATGAAACTGGCAAGGACGTCAAGAGCTCCAAGAAGTCGGATCTTGAAGCTCCCAAAAGAACCTTTTGGGGTCCTGGGGATTCTTACCAGGCCAAAATCATGCCTTCAAGGAATTTCGTTCAAGCCTTTCCAAAAGTTGAGGTTTGCAACACAGGGAGGTAGGGCCCCGGAATCTTCAGTAAAAACCACCTGGCATCGCCCTCAACGGAAAGTCAAGATTGGCAGCAGTGCAAAGTTTACGCCACCCGAAAAAGGACTCATAAGTATCAGGGAGGCTCCAAAAGCCGCAAAATTGAGTCTTACAGGTAGAACATACACATCACTATGCAGCCCAAATACAAGCGTCCCCAGCCTCAAAATGCTCGGAGAAGGATGCGAAAGACTCGGAGTAGAAGTCCTCGGAGCGCACGTGACTCATGCGGCTTCGACTTGACGAAGCCGTTGTCTGGATCTATTTCCTAGGGGTAACTTCCATTTCCATTCTTTCCAGGGATCCGGATCTTTCTAGACCAAAAACACTGGGGAAATGGCGATCGGTTTCTGAAAAGAAGGATGGCTGAGTCAAACGCCCTCAGAAGTGCTGCAAAGGCGGCCGGGGAAATCAGCGGGTCCCTCAAGTGATGCAACCCGCGGGTCCCCAAAGTGATGAAAACCGGGATAACCTCTCAAATGCAACCACGAAGGCCAAGCTTTTTGCCATGCGCTTTTGGCCATTCGTCGGCTTCGTGGAAAAAGCTTTGGTTTCTTGAGAGCAGGAAGTCTAAAACCCGTGCTTGTCTCTTGGCTACGAAGGAAAAAGGGCCGATGAACGCATCGGCCAAGGAAACCACCGTCGGACTGAGCAGGGGAGCAGCTGGTGAAGCAAACGAGGAAACTGGGCTGGTTCCACCCACTCAAATGGCAAGGAAGTGCCGGCTTCGCGCGGAGCGGGCGCCCAAGAACAACTAGTGACTGGATTCCGGTTCTTGGCGCGAGCTCCCGTATTCCAACTTCGGGCGATCATGCTTCCTTCGCAGTTGGGCTGAATTTATGAAAGTGCTCAAAAGCCAAAGAATCACCACTAAGCTGGGCTGCCCTCAGATCCCCTGCTAGAAGTTGTTAGTGGGAAACCCCCCTCTAAACCCCAAAGCCGAGGGGATGGCCCTTTGGACTGTGGCTTCTTAGCCTTCGCTGCACTCCCGGACCCCAGAAAAGGGTCGGCTTCCCCAACCTTCGTAAAACCCTTGGAACAACTCCCGAACCCCACACGACGTCCGAATTTCAGAGCTTGGTATCAACATAGTCTACCCAGAATGACTAAAAGCCACGAAAAGAGTCCCAAAAACGGCGGCACCCATTTATGGTTGGGACCATCCCTTACCCTTGCATCTACCCGGGTTTTAGTCTTGGTTGTGGCTCAAATTGTACCCCTCAAAACCATGCGGATCGGACCTCTTTCGGGGTTCTGCTCGCTGGGTGCCAGGTGCCACGAATCAGGTCACAGGTTGATTCAAAGAAGTGAGAAACGGTCCGGTCTGGCGCGTTCATTCGGCGTCTTAGGCCTCAAAATACCCTCAAACAAAGGGTCATGGCCAAAGATATGGGGTGAATTCCAACATTTAAGGGTAGTTTGATGGTTTAGGTTGCCCCTTTTTTCCCTCCTTGGCTTCGACAACCTGATGAGATACCTTGCACAACGGAGCCTGAAAAGCTCGAGCAGCGAACATGCGAACCGGGTTTTGTGAGGCAAAGTCGCTTACATTTAAGCTGGTCTCCCCCTTTTAAATGTTGACCCACAGAACTGAAATAGGTATTTGCCATGGTTTCCCCAGTGTTTTCCAAACCCGATGGGCCATGGTTTTTCAGGAGTGCATTAGGTTGACCCCAACATAATCAACCCCGGCTTATTAAGTTCGGGGGTTGGGGGTTTTCCCCTCCGACAGTGATCGGATCCCCCAGAAATGGACACCCCCTACTTATAAACAGGGGTTGATTACTGTCGGGTCAACATTATGTGACCCAAAAAGGGCTTCCCTCTGAAACCACCCAACAGGACCTAAATTTTCAAAGTGCCCTGTCAACAACACAACGGGCTCGCCTCATCTTGATACCTTGGTGCGACAGCCATCGGAACTTCACCACAGCACACCAACACGAATCTGAGACCCTGAAGGATAATGTTGAATCAACCCGTGTTTAAAAAGTTCGGGGGGTGTTTCCCTCCAATAGTGATCTGATTCCCCACTAAACCCAAGCACACCCCCTATTGATAAACTGGGGTTGATTAATATGGGGTAAGCATTATGGGCTTGTCGGTGCTGCTCCCCAAGCTGACGGTAGACTACTAAGAATATTGTCAGTTGCCTATCGACTGATTGGTTTTTTGCTCACAAGCAGGAACAAATGACACAAAAAACATCTCACAAATAGACGTTTCTACAAATTGGGGGCCATCCCTCAGGTGGTTTTCTTTGGTTTCTTCGGCACAAACCATCCAAATTGAGACCCAACTCCAAGCAAATCATGGTCGACTCGAAACTCAGAGAAACACCGTCCGGGACACCCATGTCAGGTATATCCAGACGGCAAAGCACCCTTGATATTTGTGGAAAATCCCAGCGATGAGACTGCCCTCTTTGGGGTGTTTCGAGCCTTGGAACCAGGAAGAAAACCGCCTATTTGCCATGCTCGAGACACGCGAAGGAGGAATCGGAAGGCCTCCCCATGAGGGGTCCCGAAAGGCCGCCGCGTAAGAATGCCAGGAACAAAAAGCCACAGAACTGCCAGGCATCGAGGCAGGAAAAGCAACAATCATTCTGGGTTGGCAACGTGGTCGCAATAAAAACCCGTACTCAAGGCCAACACTGCGAGTCCCAGATGCCCAGTGGCCATGGAAAAAACAAAGGCATCCTGTTGTGGTTGGTTGACTTTAAAGGGAAGCCCTTCGCACAAAAAAAAGAGGAAAAAAGGGCTCACTGGGCAACTGGGTGTTGTATCGCCTCATGGGCCTTTGGCAAAAAATGCGCCTGGTCACATAGCCTGCAACCATTGAGCCATGGACGAATCAGGAGGCGTGATGGCGATGGACGGGCTTGCCTGTACAGGATTCGGACATCAGGACGCTGCTGTGGGCTTTGGCAACTATAGAGATGCTCTGTGCGCAACAGCGGCTTTTGAGCGCCTTGCATGATTCGGCTGGTGGCACGTCATCCAGAACCCTTGCACGCCAGTGCGTGTGTCCAAGAATAGAAGCAGCGGATCCGCTGAAGCCGAAAAAACCTTTCTTGGCGCACTCGACATGGCCTAACTGCGCGCCTCGTCCGCTGTTGCTATACCCTCGCCGGGCGATGCCTGGCAAGAGGTAGAAAACAACAAGCACAAACCTCATTAACCACTGGCATGCGGAATCTTTCACGATTCATGCTCCAGGATATAGCCCCTTCTTGCTGTGTCATATTCAATACCTTGCAAAACAAAAGCTTGCCCTTCTGCCATACTCCGAAGTGCAGCTAGCGAGAAAAAAAACGGCAGGACTTGTTCCGAGCAGATCGATACCCGCCTCAACCAGCGTTTGACCGCTCTCCTCCAACACTTTCTTGGGCTCCTGCTGCTTTCTCGACTCTCAAGCTGCATGCTGACAGGGTGCTGTCGTGGCGTGCTAATGAAACAGTTCTCCCGGTTCTCTCCGTGTCATCGATTCCCCTCGCCCAGCATGCGAGAGCACAAGTGATACCGTCTTTCCAAATGCCAAAGGCGTCCAAACTTCTTACAAGGACTTGAGCACGCTCGGCTATCCCACAGTGTCATCATGCCTCGCCCACGCCAACACACGCCTCTGCGGCCTCTGCGGCCTCTGCCAGGTCTGGCTCGACCGGCTCTGCCTGCAGCGGCAACACCTTGCTCAACATCCTCCTACCTTCGTCTCAATTCCCCGCTTTTCTCTCTGCGAATGTCTATTGTAGTAGAGCCGTGCTGCAAGACGGACCCTTGTTCAAGTGCCTCGTTGGATGAATCGGCTTCTGGTGGCACGTCATCCGGAACCTTGCAAGCAAGTCCAAATCGAATCTCAGGACGAAAGCAGCTTGCATTGAATCAACTCTTGGCGCAATCCGCACTTGACACGCCCTGAACAATCCTGCCCGCCTCCGATGTAGGTGCACCCTCGCTAGGTGACGCCTGGCAAAACGCAAACACAACAGCTCTGACCTGCCTTCTTACTTGGTCCCATTGAACGTTTTGCGGCTTTACCTATTCCCTCCTGCCGCTCTTCTATTCGAGTTGAAACAACACCACTTCAGCACTTGCTCTGCGCAGATCGACGCCCGCCTCAACCGGCGCTTGAGCGCTCTCCTCCAACGCTTTCTTGGGCTCCTGCAGCTTTGTCGAGTCTCAAGCGCATGCTGTCGTGCTGCTGTCATGGCGTTGTCATGTTGCTGTCATTGTGCTGCTGTGGCATTTTTAGATCTGCTTCTCTCCGTGTTATCGATTCCCCTCGCCCAGCATGCGAGAGCATAAGTGATACCGTCTTTCCAGATGCCAAAGACGTCCGAAGCTTCTTACATCGTCTTACTTCTTACCAAGACGTGAACACGCTCGGCTATCCCACAGTGTCATCATGCCTCCCCCACGCCAACACACGCCTCTGCGGCCTCTGCGGCCTCTGCCAGGTCTGGCTCGACCGGCTCTGCCTGCAGCGGCAACACCTTGCTCAACATCCTCCTACCTTCGTCTCAATTCCCCGCTTTTCTCTCTGCGAATGTCTATTGTAGTAGAGCCGTGCTGCAAGACGGACCCTTGTTCAAGTGCCTCGTTGGATGAATCGGCTTCTGGTGGCACGTCATCCGGAACCTTGTGCGCCAGTGCAAATCGCATCTAAGAACGAAAGCAGCTTCCATTGAATCAACTCTTGCCGCAATCCGCACTTGGCACGCCCTGCGCAATCCTGCCCGCCTCCGATGTAGGTGCACCCTCGCTAGGTGACGCCTGGCAAAACGCAAACACAACAGCTCTGACCTGCCTTCTTACTTGGTCCCATTGAACGTTTTGCGGCTTTACCTATTCCCTCCTGCCGCTCTTCTATTCGAGTTAAAACAACACCACTTCAGCACTTGCTCTGCGCAGATCGACGCCCGCCTCAACCGGCGTTTGAGCGCTCTCCTCCAACGCTTTCTTTGGCTCCTGCAGCTTTCTCGACTCTCAAGCGCATGCTGTCGTGCTGCTGTCATGGCGTTGTCATGTTGCTGTCATTGTGCTGCTGTGGCATTGTTAGATCTGCTTCTCTCCGTGTTATCGATTCCCCTCGCCCAGCATGCGAGAGCATAAGTGATACCGTCTTTCCAGATGCCAAAGACGTCCGAAGCTTCTTACATCGTCTTACTTCTTACCAAGACGTGAACACGCTCGGCTATCCCACAGTGTCATCATGCCTCCCCCACGCCAACACACGCCTCTGCGGCCTCTGCGGCCTCTGCCAGGTCTGGCTCGACCGGCTCTGCCTGCAGCGGCAACACCTTGCTCAACATCCTCCTACCTTCGTCTCAATTCCCCGCTTTTCTCTCTGCGAATGTCTATTGTAGTAGAGCCGTGCTGCAAGACGGACCCTTGTTCAAGTGCCTCGTTGGATGAATCGGCTTCTGGTGGCACGTCATCCGGAACCTTGTGCGCCAGTGCAAATCGCATCTAAGAACGAAAGCAGCTTCCATTGAATCAACTCTTGCCGCAATCCGCACTTGGCACGCCCTGCGCAATCCTGCCCGCCTCCGATGTAGGAGCACCCTCGCTAGGTGACGCCTGGCAAAACGCAAGCAAAACAGCTCTGACCTGCCTCTTACTTGGTCCCATTGAACGTTTTGCGGCTTTACCTATTACCAATTGCCGCATTTCTGATTGTGTTGGGGCAACACCGCTGCACTTGATCTGCTCAATCGGCTCTCCTCCAACGCTTTCTTCGGCTCCTGCAGCTTTCTCGACTCTGAAACGCTCTCATGGTGCTGTCATGGTGTCGTGCCGTCTTTTTGAACCACTCTGCCAAAGTCATCATGCTTCGCTCGAACAACAGGCCTCCGAGCTTGTTGCATCCGACTTGATCAGCTCAGCCTGCAGCAAGCACAGAGGCTTGCTTGCATCCATCCTCCTACTTCGTCCCAATTTCTCGCTCTTCTCTCTGCAACCTCTTGTCCAAACATAGCGCAAAACCCATTGTTCAAGCGCCTCGTTGGATGGATCGGCTATCGGTGGCACTTCATCCAGAACCTTTTGCGCCTGCGCAAATTGCATCCAAGAACCAAAACAGCTGCCACTGAGTCTGAGTATTTTCAAGGCGCACTTGACATTCCCCCAACTTACCCCTGCTCGTTCGCAGTTCCCCTGGTTGACGGCTGGTAAAGACATACAGTGTGTCAGTGATCACAGCTCCGACTCAATACATGCCTTCTTGCTTGGTCAGATTGAGTAATTGGCAATATTAGTTGTTAGTTCCTAGTCTTACCTTCTGCCGTACCCCCGTTTGCAGTTGGGGCAACAACACGGCACATTGCACACATCGACGCCCGCCTGAATCGGCGTTTGAGCGCTCTCCAAGGCTTTCTTGGGCTCCTGCCGCTTAGCGCTGCCATGTCGCCGTGGCGCCACGGGAATGATCCTGTTCTCAGCCTTGGCCTAAATCTTCCTTGGGGTTTCATTGAATCCTCCAGTACAAGGATTTAGCTGAAGGGATATAAATGGTTTCATTGAATCCTTCAGTATCATTCCTTGAATCGTTTCATTGAACGCACGAGCCAAATGCCACTAGCCCAATGCCAAGCAATTGCTGCGGATGTCGAACCGATTCCCCTCCAACCGCGGGATGCCATGTTGCATTCGCGCAAGGAATTCCCCAAGCAAGGGAGCTTCATACTGTTGGACGAAATCCTGCACCACTCTGAAACCCCTCAGAAACCCGTGTTCGTTGGTCCTTACAGGGGAATCATTCTTCCCGGTGTTTTTAGGTGGTGCCTATGAGGATTTCGTCTTCAGCTCTTCGCGCGTGCAAAGTCCTTGGACTTTCGGTTCGACTTCACCGGCTCTGCCTTCGCAAGCTCAAGGCCCGGATTGTAGTGGACCATTTGCAGACAAAAATTTATCCAATGACAACATGACTAGACCTTAGGCCCAGTAGAATGCATTTTCTATGGGTTGCTTCCCTTTGAGTCGCTCGTAAAATGTAAAATGTATCCTAAGTCTAACCCAGACAAAGACTGGACATCTGCGCAAATTCAGCTGGAGCCCATTGGGCAACCGCGTCCCAGCCTTGCGATTTACACTCTCCAGCAGTTTGAACACCTCCTGCGCGAGCTTGGCGCTGCGCTTTCTTCTATGAGGGAAGCTGAACAAATCCGGATTGTTAATGGTGTTTCTGGCAGTGCGAAACAAGGGTTGTTTTCCCCCAACAGCTGAAAGCTTTGGGGTCTCAGCCCAGATAGGCTCCGGGGTGGTCCGGGGCGGCCCTGAGGTAAGGTTCCACGAGGATTCCACCAGGGTTCCACGAGGATTCCACCAGGGTTCCAGGAGGGTTTCACGAGGGTTCCACGAGGGTTCCACCAGGGTTCCAGGAGGGTTTCACGAGGGTTCCACGAGGGTTCCACGAGGGTTCCACGAGGGTTCCACGAGGGTTCCACGAGGGCTGCGGGGTGGTGCGAGCACTAAAAAGAGCACCACATGCTTTTTGGATATCACCTGAGCTTACTTTTTGCCCAGTCAGGCGGTTGTTCTAATCATCATTGTTCATCTTGACGTAAATGTTCATAGAGAGTTTTCAACTTGGACATCAGTGGCTTTAAGTTGGAGTTGCAATACCCCTTGTGGTTTTAAAGGGACACCAAGAGAAAAACGAAAACAAGCAAAAACACCATGGCGCCTTTTTCTTGGTCAACATTCAGACCTAAACCTAGGATTTATATTTTTCTTGCTCATCATTTAGTCAAGGGATGTCAAGGGCAAAGATGTAAGATGGTCCCAACCGTTGACCCAGTTTTGGGTGGGGTCCAACCTGAAAACGAACCACCTACGAGTGGTTGGGGTCACTGCCGTTCCGACTATCCCGTCCTGAAGGCCCACCTCCTGTCGCGGCTCAAGCCGCGTCGCGTCGGGGGGGCTCCAAATTGGCAGGGTGCGTTTTCAGCTCCCCTGTCTTTTGGGATTCAAACCATTAAAACAATGGGGGCTCATATAACCACCATTGTTTACCATCATCCAGAACCCTGGGGTGCCCTACCTTTCCAGGCACTTGACAGCTCCCTGGCGGAAAATGAGCTTCCAGGTGGTTTCCAGATGCCTTCTGTTAGTGGAACAAAGGGTAAACTATTGACTTTTGGGTTAAATTCGGAAACCCAACCACAAAACTAACTGAAAACAAGCCAAACACTAAGGGAACCGCCAAAGCAAACTGGTGGATCCCCTTTGGCTTCCCCAAAGACACTCTCAAAGAAAAACATACATGCACACACGCACGCGCACACACACACACACACACACACACGTCAGTTGCCCTTTAGGCACCCAGAGATAAAAGGCGATCCTTGGGGTGACTAAAAATGCAAAAACCGGGCAAACCAAAAGGTCAAACGGTCGGCTTTGGGCAACTGAGACACACACGCACAAATCAGGCATAAAATCTGAACCACAAGAAAATGGGCTTTGCAAGGTCAGATCCAACTGGATAATGACGAGAGAAGTTCCCCCCAATGCATGTACCCAGAGGCCGGGTACGGTTCCTTTCCGCACAAGGCGTGAACATTGACCAAAGACACGTGCTTTTGCGCATGTGCTTTTCCCGAAGACACGTCACCCAGGCGCGTAAGTGCCCTGCTTATCGGGAAGTCAACAAACAGTGTTTGACATTTATGAACGATACCCTCTTTCCAATCAAAGTGGACATGGGACTTCCCAAGTTTTCCACTCCCCGTTCATCCATGATTTCAGGGAGGGTAGTGGTTTCAACATCTTTCAATACACACCACCCCCCAAACACATCTCCAAAAGTAGTATATCTTAGTCTTTTTTTCAAGGGGGTGTGTTTGGGGGGTGATTTCAACGGCCCAACTTGACCCTGCTGCATTTCCCAGTCGCTCCTTTTCCTTTTGCTTCTCAGCCTGGCTTTTTAGAGGCTGGAAGCTGTGGAGGGCTTCACCTCCGGAACAAGAGAGAAATAGGCCTCAAAATTGGGATGTTGGACCTTTTAACACCTCTGGAACTGGAGACATGGTTGGAAAAAAAATCGTGGATTTCGATCCCTAAAATGACCACCTTCCCTTGGGGTTCCGTTTCACATCTAGCTGGGTCCTGGCCGATCTGCTCGCTTCCCATGTTCCACGGCCCTGGACCCTTCCGAGAACCTCACGCACACACGCACATGGGCACGTATTCAACATGTGCGGACCTTTTTTGCGAACATTTGGTAATTTATGCCCACCACCTTTGATGGGTGTAAGCCAAAATTCATAGCCACCTGCCATCCGCCCTTGTTCATCCTATATGTTTGCCATAGTTGGGGGTGTATTTCGCTTTGGTACAGTCAGCCGTTGAAGGACCGCCTTGCGGACCCTTGGAACTGGTGAAACGGAGTGAAAGCCAGTCGGCGAGTCTAGCCTTTCCAAGAACCGAAGAGGAGGTATTTACCGTGGAAAACCGGCCTTCTTCATACACGAGTACGGGATACCTTTGAGCATACCCCACCCCTCCCATTAGGGGCAGAAGGGCAAAACTTCTTGGATTATCTTGGGTAAGTTGCATAGCTGGTTTCTCCATCAGGATTATCTTGAGTCCACTCAAGCGATTTTAAGTTTAACCCAACTTGATTCCAAGCCCGCGTGTCGATTACTGATTCGGGCCCTCAGAGGCACGCTAGAGAAAGAACACGGAGATGTTGATTTGTGTGTCCCCAAAACAACCATAATGAATCAGTGACTTCTACGGGATATCAAAAGGAAGGGGGTTCGCAGCAAACTTATGATATTTGTTTGAGATGTATCATCCATGTTCTAAGAGGACTTCCACAACCAGGAAGGGGGTGAATCGGTGCGTCTTTTTGTTAAGGCACCAAAAACTGTAGTTGTTCCTTTTGGTTTCCGATTGAGACCATTAAACAAACGCTAGTACCCTCAAACATGACACACCTACCAAGCATGTAACATGGTGATAATCACCAAAGTCGAGCTTCGAAACGATACGTTTCGAGGTGGGTTCAGCGGGTTGCGGAAATGTTCGCTGTCGCTAGGAACCAAAGGGACACAGCACAACAAAATTGAAAGCATCAACCTTTGGATAACTCTTTCATCTGGGTCAAGTCCAAGTGGTCCCCAATTCTGGGGGGGGTTCTAGCAAAACTCAGTTGTTCAGTGGCACCCTTTTTCCCTTGTTTTTGGTGCCTGCCCCACTAGAAATGGTCTTCCCCAAAAAGTGTTTTTTTTCCCCAGGGTCACTGAACTGAGGTTAAACCATGGTGGGTGGCTTTGAGCCCTTGAGAGCTCGGCTTTACGACTGTTGGACCCAAGTTGCCGCTTCGGTGCGCACGAGTCCAGTTTTGGAAACTCCAAAACTGTGCGTTTCGATGGGTACAGGTTCAAGCCGAGTGATAGTCATTGGGGCTTTCTTTTGGCCTTGCAATCCTTCCAAGCCACACGAAGCTCGAAAACCCCGGTGGTTTTCGGGAAAAAAAACTGGTTCAGGAGAGAAGTGGTTAAATCACCCATGGGAGGTGTTGCCATAACTGCCCATGGGGCGAGCATCCATGCCTTGCACAAGACATGTTCCCCCTTTTCGCCTGTCTCCGTTCACGCTTCTTGAGCTCCGGCGAAGCCTGCCACGTGAGCCAGACATTTGCCTTAGAGACCCGGAATTCAACCCCTTCAGACCAGTAGCAGAGTGGGTTCGTTCAAGCCCGTACGACGCCCCGCTGTGTTTTGACCCATTCGAAACTCGGAGCAGATTGTCACTATTGGGTCCACTACAAAGGGCAGGCCCCCCAAGTCTAAGATCCTCTTTGTAAGGTGACCGAAGGGTTTGGGGCGATGCTCATTTGATTGCATTTCACCAGATTGCATCTTGAATCGTGAACATGAACCTCAGAGGATCAACATAATTTGAAGACTTCCCCCCGCATGATCACTTTTATGAACTCTGAGGACCAAGGGGCATGCGGCATTGTCTGGAGTTTGCTGGAGCTTGCTGGGGTTGCTTGAAGCCTGTGGAAACTCCTGGCCTCTCACAAATCAACATGGAACCTGGCAGGGGAGTCCTGGATGACCATGTTCCTTTTGGATGGACCCCTGTCAGGTTCCATGTGAATTGGTGGGAGCATAAGTTAGTTGAATTGGACATCGGGTGACGTGAAATTCATGGAACAGTTGGCGACGAAAGATCGGTGAATCGACTGACCACCTCTGGGTGAACCATTGTCGAGGTCTTCCTGCTTCCTCCCGAAGATTGGACTCCTACAATAGAAGAAATCCACCTGACCAGCACCCCCAACAACTGCTTGTTGGACAGTACCAAGGGGATTTTGGACATGGTTGAAGAATGAGAAAAGTTGTTCGGGGGGGCCTTGTAAGGGTGCTCGGTTTAACGGTTTTACTGTTGAGGCCCCAAGTTTTGAGAAATGCAGCGAGCTGAGGATGATTCGCTTCAAGTCTTTGATGCATGGATCAAGCAGGTGCATCGTCACCGCGGTGAGACCCGAATATAATGAACAAATAGCAACCACGCCTCAAGTTGCAAAGGCAAACACAGAAAGCGACAAGAAGGCCGGCCACAAACAAGCATTCCTAGTCTGTGACTAGCTGACTGCAAGTTCATAAGGGGCTGATTGACTGATATGTGACTTCACAGCCGCTCGATGTGCAGCTGATCCGAGTTTCTGCCATCATGGACAGCTCTGTGGGTGGACCACTGAAGTCCCCAGCTCCCAACCAGCAAAAGGTATATTTTAAGTGGGGTTAGTGGAAAAGCGACGTTTGTAACAAATCTCCAAAAGGTGTTTTGTGGTGATTCGGTGTGACTCGAAAGACCGAATCGCCATGCAAAAACATGGCGGGGGGGTGTTCTTTCTTGAGCCTCCTTTGGGGTTGGTCTTCGAGTTGGAAACCAAGCGGGGGGTTCAAATCCGATTTTGTAAAGGCAAATCCGTAATTTTGAGGCAAATCCATGCAACGTCCCGTTGGTTTGCAGACGCCCGGGCCCGGAACGGCGTCGCACCGAGCCCCGCGAGGCCCGCGAGCCTTTGGAACGGCTGGAGCCGGCCGGCCCTGGAGGATCCATCGATCGGTTTTTGGGGTTTTGTGGTTGGTGACCACGGATAGGGTTGATAGACAGCAGCAGCAGCAGACGCAAGGGTGTGGCTCAAAACATGGGTATGACTCAAAATTAAACAGGAGGGGCAAGCTGCAGGTCTTGGTCCATGTTTCCACTTGCCAGGGCAACCCATTTGGGGATTCCGATTGTTGAGCCACGGCCAGATGGCTTGGGCACACAACCAAAAAACTTGGTTGCTGTTGACCCCCCTGCAAAAGTGTTTTTGTTCTTCACTGTTTGGGGGTGTAGTGGAAAACCCAACTTGATTTCAACCAAAAAGTTAAAGTCTAAAGATCCAACCCAGTAGCAGTCAAGAAAATGGTGGTATACCAACTGGTTGGTGAGTGAGATGTTCAGTTGGCATACCCTGATAAGAACAAGTTCGCATGTCTTGGAGATTTTGCCAAGGGCCTGAATTGGAGGTCTAGAGCCAACTGATTGTTACTCTCTATGGTCTAGTGACTTTCCCATTCTTTTCAGGGTCCTTCTTGCCAAAGACAAAACAGACCCACAAGAAGTGGCTGGTTTGCGGGAAGGAGGGTCGAGCAGAAAGCAACAAACACTACGTTGCAACCCCTACAACCAAGGCACACCTGCAACATGGCTCTGGGGGTCGCTGTTGGCTTCCAGTGTTCCCAGCCGGAAAACATCATCTGATGCACGAGGGTTTCATTGTTGGAACCCTGTCACCAGAATTCCTGGTAAAAGAGGATGCGTTTGGGGTTGACCACTCAAGTGACTTGCATCCACGGGTATGTGTTGGCAACAAAGCAGGGAACCCCTGAGTTCTATTCTTTTCCCCATCCTTCTGAACCAAACACCAGCCATTTGGGTGTCTGTTTCTGGAGTCGGTACTTATTTCTGCGTGGCTTTGAAGGGGAAACAACCAGAAAACCACCATGGGTGGTGTATTTCGGGCTCATTCCATTTCTGCCCATCTCTCGCACCAGGTGAAAAAAGAGGAGCTGCCCTCAGATCCCTGCTCAAAGTGACGAACTCGTGGGTGAAAAATTCGGAAACGGCCAGTTTAAACCAACTAACCGCCTAAACAGCCAAGGAACCGGATGGCCTTCGGGAGCCACTTGCCCTGATTCTCTCAGCGGGTTTTGTCCGGCTCACCTCCTGTCGGGGCCTCGCGGATCGCCGGACCTGCGAATCTGGGGCCAACTGCCCAATGCGTCAGGGTTTCCGGGCTGTCCGTTTTCAGATCCCTAAAGGCAGATCCTTATGTCGCCAAGACCTATAATATACAGGACGCATCAACAAGCTCTCACTTTTGGCGGGCGAAATCCTGAAACCCAACCGCTCAGCCAACTAAATACCCACTAACCTGAGGAAACGGACGGCAGGGAAACGGACCCAAGCTCCATATACCTGTCAAATCACATGGGTCTGCAACATGCCGAAACACCGAGCGAGGCCTCCACTTCGGCTCGAAAGGTTTCCCGTGTCTCCCATTGCCCTTTGGTTTCTGCTTACCCTCCAATGGAAGCTGACCATCGAACCGGTTCTGGATACTTTCCTTTTGGGGAACCGAGGCTCGGTCCACTTCCATGGTTGGAGAAAGAGTAGGTCCTCCAGTAGAGAGGTTGGAATAAGGGTACCTGATTCTTTTTTCTGTAGTCTATTTTAGTAGGTGAACCCTCCCCCAAAAAGGAAACGGTAAACGGGCACGATCCTGGGGCACCTAGTTATGGTTGGGTTCCCTCTGGTTTTCTCTCTCTCTCTTTCATTCCCATGGAACATCCGCAGGTCCCAGGAATCACTTGCCACTCGGCGCCAAAAAAATGGCGCTCTCCCCGCCTCCGGCTGCTCCGGGACGCCTTGCCAAGGCGTGGGAAGAAACATCAGACTCCCCTTTTCATTGCTGGTTTGGAGCCAAATCGCTGGTTTGGAGGCTAAGGGTGGCTTCCCATTTCCACAAGAACTAGGAGTTTAAATCTACAAACCAATCCAAACCATCAATCAAGGAGCACTTAAAAAACAGATGATCGGCGAATCCTGGCTCATCTTTTAAACAAAACGCAAAAACGTTGAACTCTCTCGTGACCTGGTCACATAGAACATGCGTCAAACAATCCTTGGACCGCTCCCACTTAATGCATCGCTTCATTTGTGGGATGGGTTTACGAAATAAGCCCAGGTAGTATCCCCATCATCCCTGGAACTTTCTTGAACCCTCCCATGCCCCAAACTTTTTGAACCCTCCCTGAAAGCTGTCCCAAACCACCTCTCGCCTATCTAGGCAGAGACTACATCCATAGCTTTCAGCTGGGGAAAAACCAAAAGGGAGTACCTGAACCCTCAAACTACCCTTAAACAAGGGAATTCACCAACCATAGTTTTGGGGCTACGACCCATTTGAGGTATTTTGAGGGTCAACTACCCTTTCAAAAAGGAAAATTCACCTACCATAGTTTTGGGTCCAGGTACCACCACTGCCCTTCGACACATACGAACATGGATTCCCCGGATTCGCTCGCGCCTCGGCTCGGCTGGGCCCTGGGAGGAAGTCCAATAAAGGGTCTGTCCTTTTCGGCCACCTTGGGGTTGGTTCAAAGGAACACCAAAAGCACAGCTTTTTTTCTTGGAGGGGGTCTCCTATTTTAATAAACCTCATCTCAGTTGTAAGGGATACAATTGGTCAACCTTTGCCACACAAGGGGTAAATAAACACAAAGCAAGCGTCGATTCGCTTCGGGAAAGCTAAAGAGCGCGTCATTCAGCCTGCACTGGTTGGTGAAAGGCGCCCTTCGATCAAAACCCATTGCGGGTCTACCAGGTTACCCAAATGGTTCTAAAGGTTTATAGGTTCTACTACCATGACACCAGGTAGAAATCACCTAATTGGCCAACAGGTGTTTTGGGCTCTCAATGAGTTACACTCATCCTTAGGGGCTATCCACCATGCACGTCCAGAAAGGTGTATATATATATATATACCTGAACCCTCCAAAAGTACTGACATTTCCGCACATGCAGAAAAAATATATGTACACTTTTGAGGACATTTGACGGAAATCGTTTTTAGCACGCTGTGAGCGTTTGTGGTGCACATGGATGCACATGAACACAGATTGCAATTTACATGGCCCGTCATACTTAATTCCGTTTCAGGTCATTCGTCTCCTATTGCCGTGGGGCAACGTGTGACAGCTTCCTTGCCGCTTTTGCGAGTTTGCAGTTTTCTCAGCCAAAATGCAGAAACCGGAAATGCACGGAAATCGGCGGGAAATGCACGGAAATCGGTGGGAAAAGTACGGAAATCTGCGGAAAAAAAGTACGGAACTCAGCGGAACATTTGCTTGGGGAAATGCGCACGTGTTGTCCTTGGTGAATTGCACACCTTCAAATAATTTCTCTTGGCCCATGAGCATGACAATCTCCAGTGCCAGGACCGGAGCTGAACGTGAGATTCTTATAGAAAAAAGTAGCTGAATGCTCCTGTGTCTTGCGTTGAGCCTGCGAGAAAAGTACAGTTTTTGCTCAAATGTATGGATTTCAAGGAAATGCACGGATTCGCAAAAAAAGTGCCCTTGGTTGGTCCAGGTATGCTCGGGAGTAATTAATCCCAGGGCGTCATGCAAAAGAACCCTTGGACACACCTCGCGTACAAGTCCATCCAAACTAAAGAAGCCGACTACTTCTTGGGACCTTTATCTAACCAGTGTTACCCCAAAAACATGGATCTAAGTGCCCTCTTAGGGGGGCCACTTGATGTCCCCCCCCCCCAGTGCATCGGAAACGCTCGCTTTGCACTTTCCGTCTCCCGGCCTCAGCGCGGGCAGTTTTGCCTGTGGCAACACCCGGATTCGATTTCGAGCGAAACATGGAGCCATTCTGTCTTTGCAAGCAGAAAAGGAAAAGGAATAGCTATCTGCTTATAGCCATTCTGTCTTGCTTGAAACCTGAAGTTTCAACGAATGAGAACGCTGCATCGCGACATTGTTGTCCCGTGGCTTTCGCTCCCGGTGCCGCTTGGACTTTTGGCATCAGCTCCAAGTGGTTTGGAGCCCGGTGATCTTGGTGATTAGGTATTTTCCCATACCGCCCAAAACCACCGAGCCAAACCGCCAAATCTTCCCAATTGGCTTGGAGCCTGGTTGGGGAAGAACCGCCCAAAAAAATCCTACACCGCGGGTATCAACACCTCCCATGGGACAAGACCAACAGGTAACGCGGTCCATGCTCGAGCCTTGGGAGCCTCCTTCGGAGCCTCCTTCCCTGGAAAAACCTGAGTCCGGGCAAAGCCATCTGGTGGAAGACCCAGCGTTTCCTGGACAGAGGGCTTTGGGTCTCCAAACCTAGCTGGGGAAGGCCCGGAAATGGTTGGAAATCAGGATAAACTCGTTGGGAACACCTATTCTTCCAATAAACCCTGAGTCAGAAAGGACCGCCCTCGGTTTTGGGATGGCCAGCAGCCAAAAACTATTCCATATTCCGAAGTGTGAGTCAACCATCTGCTAAACTTATTTGACTATTCGACTAAAGAAAACATCGATCTCAACAAGTCACAAGTCCAATGAACGGAAGTCTCATAGATCAAGCCGGTTGCTCTTTGCCCGTACAACCGGAACGTTTTTCATTTTCTCCTATTCCGATGCTCCCATGTACTGACCCCCTAGACATGAGCCCTGGCTCCGATGGCTCCCGAGAAATTCCCCGGAACAGTCGGCCATGGGTTGTTAAAAGGCCACAAGTGGGGTCCTTCCAAAAAGTAGAAACTCCAGGACTTCGAACAGTGAGATACGGGACTTTTTGTTCGCATCCGCGTGTTGCACACCTTTGTGAAAAACGGACACCATGCTCTTTTCCAATCACAAAGTCCTACCCTGAAAATGGATTCACGCGGCTTGAAAGATGCTGCACTCCCCCCTCAAGTTCCACGTTGTTGCTCTGATTGTTGAGACTCCCTTTGTGGGTTGTTTGAAGGGAAACCCAAGGACAAAAACACAATTTCCAGGGATCTCTCCCTATTTTGACACATCACAGCCCCATGCGCATTTGCACCTGAACCCGGAACTCACCCTTTGCCTTGGAGTTTCTGTGATATAGCAAGTTGTCTGCCTTATTACAATTCTAAAACCTGACATCCGAATTGGAGCCCCGAAAAGCAAACCAGCGCCGTCGTATTTTATTGTCCCTTCTGCTTTTCCTTTGGTTTCCCTGGGGCCGTGTCCGAAGCCCCTTTTCAAGAGGATGGAATTCAAGGACCCGGTAGAAACATGTCATATGATACAACTCCTTGAAGTGAACTGGCTGTGGCTCAAAAAAATGTACCCAAAATGGCCCCATTTTGGAAAGCGGAGGTAAATGGAAGCAAAGACCAACATCTGCGTAACCCTAGCTCTAAAACTTTGAGCCACACCCAACAAAGTGCTAAATTTTCTCCCCATATTCCAAGGAGACCTCCCTACATGGTGGTTTCCCACTTTCTCTTGGTGTTGAAAAAGCCCCATGTCTCAATTGGTTGCAAAATGGATATTTTTCTTTTCAGGAGCCGTTTCCCTTTGTTTTGGTGTTGAAAAAGCCATGTTTCAATTGGTTGCAAACTGGAGATTTCTTTTAAGGAGCCCTGTATCAGTTGGTTGGCTGCTTTGAGGGCTTCACCCTGGCTTCTGCTTCGTAAATGGATCCCTCCGGTCGCCTTTGGTCCGAGGTCCCGTGCCGGAGCCTTGGGCTTGAGAGCCGGCAAGCTGGGCACCTGGGCGGCCATGAAACCAACGGCTCCCCATCCCGCACGCGTTTCTTTCTTTCTTTCTTTTTTGGTATATATTGGTAACCTGTGTTGGGGGGCGTTGTTTTTTTGGTTTTTGAAGGAAACCCATTTTGGGGTTTCTAACACATGGACACACCTTCTTGGACCACAGATTGTTTCCAGGGGCTGAGGAATTGGTCGCCGTGGGTTCTCCATTGGAGGTATAGGGGTCTGCATTCAAAGCATGACCCGGGTGGATTAGACCAACCCTGCCTGAGCAATGGGGGTGCCCCCGTTTAGTGGGAATCCAGATAGATGTTTTCTTGGGCCCCCGCGAAGGATGGGCTTCAGCCGGGTTCCCAGTGGACCAACACCCAGGCACTGGTTGGAATGGATGAAATATTTGGAATACTTTAGAAACCACTGCCTGGTGCGGGAGTTTGTATCAGGGCCTAGATGATACACTTGGGGGGTTGGGGACGTGAAAAGCAAACTCAAACTACATGTATCATGAGATAAGGTGTGTAAGTATTGAGCCCCTTTAAACAACTGTTGTTTTGGGCTCTTTGAGAGGGGGCACCAACCCCTCTGCGGCAATTAAATTTAGAGTCGGTATAGTTGGCAACACAAGGGTATCCACTTTCCCACACTTTTCAAGACTAAAAGGAAAATATCCGATGACCTACTATGCTGGAAAGTGGAATCCACAGAGAAAGGAAAAAACACGCTTGTTGTTTGAGACTGTCCTGATTAAAGGAACCCGAAGAACCCTTTTTTGTTGAGGGTACTGGTAGCAAACAAACCCTAAACCCACCAGAAACCTAGCAAACAACAATATCCCGAAAACAACCTTGCAGAAACCTTACACCCACCCTCCGCCCTCTTTCCTGGATTGAGGCCAAGGATTCAAAAAATCGGCCGCGAGCCTTCGAAGTGACCGTCGCGCTTAGGAAAGCGTGCAACGCTTGGTCAATGCTCCCGTAGGCTCGGCTGGGATCTGGCTTGCAAGCTACGCCGTCTGTTAGCCATGGGTCAAAATCCAAATCGTACCCCCAGTGAACGTCTCAATTCCCACTGGAAATAGACTAAAATGGGTGGTGCACCTACCCCAAAATGGCACCATTGGTTTTGACCCACAGCCTGCTGAGTTCTCCCGACAAACAAAAAAACACGCGTTTAGTGTCTTGGCCTTGAAAGGAAAAGTGGCTTGAATTGAAATCACCTGGTTGGTCCTATCGCTAGGGATTCTTGGCTCCGGGAATCGCCCCAGAGAGTTTCTCCGGTTGGGGCTAGAGTCAAAGCGGGTCGAGTTGCAAAGCCAGGGAAGGTAGGAGTTTCAACACAACATGGGTGCCCCCAACTTTGAATGAGACCTGTCTTGAAACTCCTATGCTTCTCAACCCCCGATAGGGTCTCCTCCAATAGGGCCCCTCCCAATAGATAGGGGCCAATAGCAACTACCCAGACGCTCCCGATTGATTTTGGGCCCTCAAACAGCCAGGTTTTGAGACCCCGCAATCCGGGGTGTCTAATGGTCGGGTCTTCCATTGAAAGCTCCAGGAGCCTCTGGGTAGTATTGCCTATTGGGCGGAAACATCTCGCGCCACAAGGAACAATGAAAAAAACAAAGGACTTGATATTCGCTCTCTATGGGACGGAAGTCGCCATATGGAACCCGCAGGTTTCCCATAGCAACCCCGAAAAGGGTGCCCGCAAAAAGGACTGCCCAAAAACATGTGTATAATAATAATATATATATATATATAAACATAAATAAACAAATAAATAAATAAATAAATAAATAAATAAATAAATATATAAATACATAAATATGTTTATATGTATATATATATATATATGCTATATCGTTTTATATGTTAACACATATATATATATATTTTACATTGACCAGTTTAAGGACCCCTGAAGCAGGTGGTTCTCGCCAACACGCCACACCTTTTTCTTTCTCTGCCTAAGGCCGCGGCCCGCAACTGAGGTGTAGAACGCACTTGCCTCGGGCGAGGGATCCAAGTGCCTTGGTTGACGTTGGAAGGGGAGCAAAATTTAAATGTTGGCCGTTAAGTGGGAATTTCCCACTAACCACCATAAGCAAAAATACGCAAAATGTTTCCCAACAGCAACCATGAAGTGGGGCTGCCGGTCTTTTGGTTCGCCCCCTGTGGATGGACGCAAAGCCCCTTTGGTTTCAATGGCTTGAACCTCAATTCTGAGGGTCAAATAGATGGAAATGAGCTTGAATTCCCCGAACTGTGGATGGACGCAATCTTGCACCACGAAATGAAACGATGGTTGAAACTGTTGTTGCTTGGTGTTTTTTTTTTATAAAACATCATCAGCAACCGGGTTTCTGAGGTGGTGCAGGATTTCAAAGGTAGGGGAGGGCTCGTCTTCTTTTGGAGTTGGTACCCCTTTGTTGGGTGGGTGTTTTAAGGGAAGCCAAAAGGACAACCAAAACCGATTTGAGGGTTCCAAACGATTCCAACACAAAAACGCACACACACACACACACACACTGGGTGTGTCTTGTTTTGATTGTACCGGGTTGTTGAGGGAACCAATTGCGGGGTTCCCCTTTGACAAGTGCGGACTGTCGACAAAAAACTTTGGGGTTTACCCCTGAAAAAGTGATCCTGAGTTCCTGTGCAATGGGACACGGCAACCGAAAATCAAGGCCTTTCTTTCATAGGTCAATCCCGAAATTCAATCCGGGTCTATCGTATTTTGTGTCGGGTCTTTGAACAACCAATTGGAGGGATGATTCGGTTTTCCGCGGTTAACTCCGTCTTCGAAATATTCAGAATGCCCCGACATCTTCCTGGAGGTTCCTGGAGGGGAACACACTTAAACTCCAGATGGAGAGTGCTAATCTTTCGAGTACAACTGGTGAGTCTCGAGTACAACTGGTGAGTCTCGAGTACGATGAGTATCTGCTTGATTTCCGCGGGCAAAGAGGGGACCTTGTTGGGAAGCAGGTACGTAGCTGAGCGTCCTCAGCTACTTCCCTTCCAGTGACCTAGCTTCGTTGGATCAGGTCAGTCACTGGAAGCCTGATCCCCCTGCTGCAACAGAAAAAGGTTTTGGTGGCAGGGTTTTCTGCCACTCCGCACACACACGCCCCTCTACGAGGGGCGAGGTTTCTCTTTTCTCCTGCAGGAAGATCACATGCTCAAACTCGAATCTCTATCGTTGACCAAAATATCCTCCACGGCGAGGGGAGCGAGACACCGCCCTAAACCGCTCAGAAGACGGGAACGAGAGATCACCACGTTGAGCGTTGCGAGTGTCGCCATAGAGGACTGAAGCGATTTGCGAAGCAGCCGGGCGATCACCATGAGAAAATGGAGTGGCGTAGGTGAAGGTCTCCTCAACTGGAACGGCATCGGAGTTTTGAACTTGACCAAGAGCTGGATCATGTGGATAGTGAGTTGCGAAGGACTCAATCCGAGACAGAATGCGCTGGTACCCTTTATGTTGCCAGTCACGGATGTCCCATGCCTGGACTGGCGCATTGGGATCAGTCACCCGCTGCCATTCCCGAAAGGAATTTTCAGGTAGATCAGGTACGGCGTCACCGCGGTGCCATCGTTGAGGCTGTCCTGGAGTGTATATCCGCACCCACTCCTGATCCTGCCAGACCGAATATTCGAGCCATGGGTGCTGCTTCGAATCATCGATGTCCATGTCGAAGCAAGAGGCAAGGATTGTCGCGGGCTCCGATCCAGCTAATAGATGAACAGGCACCACGCACAACCATGTTCAAACAACAACCAAGCAAGATCATGCAAGTGTAGAGACCACCCTTATTTTGTACGCTGCGCTGCTCATGTGAGTCTAGTCCTGAGTCAGCTCGAAGACGGGACTCATCTTGTTTCCGCCACTGTCGGAAGGATTCGCGGGCCGGTAGGGGTCGGAGACCCCAATCGTCTCCGATGGTGTGTTTCCACGCGATGCACGTACTGGTTGATGAGGATGGGAAGCTAGACGTGCGCGAGCCGTCAGTTGTTGAGAAATCCCCTCCTGGAGACGAGTCAGGTCTTCAGTAGAGAAATCAGCCGCATCCGAGGACCTGAGAATCGCGTCTAACAGCTCCGGCGACATACTCAATGCCGCAGACTGCGTGGCCACGCTGTGATGATCAGGGTGATACATGGAATCAAATTCATGACCAGCGTGAGGGGCAGCGACTCTCCGATAGCCCTCTGTGGCCCAGTCTCGTTTGTACCACATAGTGACTTGGACCTGCCCACCGACTGAGTCCTGGTTGGGAGCATAGAACTCCCTCCATTCTCTAAAAGTATGCGGAGGAGGTGGAGCATCATGTTCTTCTTGTGGCGTCCATGGTCCTGGATGAAAGATCTTGACCCGCTGGGCATCAGGTTGTTGAGGATCCGGGCACCATTCCAGCCACGCCATGACAACGCAACCACGGAAAGACAAGTTGATAGGTGTACGGCTGCGGACAACAACGAGTGAAAGCGAAACAACTATCATAATGCAAAAGACCACTTTTGTAGCACTGCGCGGCTCCAGCATTGAAGTCAATCTCCCGAATCGAACTGAACTGAACAGACTCTCCAAGAAGGCGAGGACGGGCATCAGCCATCTTGTGAGAAAGATGATGCCGAGGAGGAGGTCAATCCAGCATACATGAGGTCCGGTGCACCCGAAGCGAAAACCGGCCTCGCTATGCTGGGATGTGGACGTCCCAGGCGTTGGTACCCCCTGGTGACCCAGTCCCTGTAATACCAAGTGTAGAAGGTGGCGTAGGATACCGGTTGCAAAACCGTGCCTGTGGTTGTGCCGCCTGTGCTTTCCGTGGGCCAATACACTTCGAAGTGGTGGACCTTGCGCCATTCCCGATAGGTGGTCGGGTCATCCGGGGCCGGTCCCAGGGTGTCAGTGGCTACTGGATGCCACGGACCCGGTACATAGATCCGAATCCATTCCACACTCGTTCCTGCTGGCCCATTGACGATGTCATAGTCAAAATAGCGAGGTAGGACCCATCGTGCTGCACCCTGCACTGTACTATTGAACATTTCAACCCGACAAGCTGCTCAAAGTTATCAAGGAAAGCGGCGGACACATGGAGACGGCATGCGCACCACCAAGCAAGACAACCCAATGTGTACTCACTTACAAAGCAAGCACAACCGCTTCTTTATCCAACATGCTACTCAAGTGTCAATCCGAATCATTCCAAGGGTCATGGAATGGTGGCGGTGACGGTTCCCGCCACGCCCCATCCGGTACCGACGAGCCCACCGAGGACTCGACGTCTGCGTTCACGAGCATCGCGAATCCGATGGATTGTACAGGAGGTCCAAGCCGTTGATACCCTCGTGTTTGCCAGTCTCGGTACTCCCACACGTGGTAGGACACATAGGAAGTGGGCGTGACTGTGGGATCCATTGTGGTGCCTCCTGTGCTGTCTTCAGACCAATACACTTGGAAGTGATATGATCTGCGCCACTCCCGATACGTGGAAGCGTGAAGTGGATCAGGAACTGGCGCCTCATCGGGAACGGGTCTCCAAATGCCCGGAGAGTAAATTCGAATCCATTCCACTCCTCTATCGATCTGGTACTCGAAATACTGGGGGTTCATAGCAGCAATACAGGCTCGCACGACTGCTAACCTAGTCTGCGGCAAGGACACACATGCAATGCAAACTGCACACATCCGCTGGAGAGTGAGGCAACTTTTCAAACTCAAGGTGAAACACTGCAACGAGGTCTGAAATGTCCAACTCCTAGGTTTCACTGTCGTTGATGTCGCGCACACCTGCAATGATAGTGTCCTGGTCGTCTGCGAGCACAAGGGGAAAGACATTTCCGCCCATGGCGCAGGATGGCATGACAGTAATGCTTGCAAGTTGCCGATGGGGACCTCGATGGACGGCCAGCACGTTTGGAAGAAAACACTGTAAAGGGCCGTCGAGATCGCCGCGGCGCTGAAGCTGATGCTGTCCGAGATCGTTTGGACGAGCGCCCTGGACTGCGTGGTTCTTCATCGCGGGAAGGGTCAGTGCTGTAGATCGAGCGGCGTGTGCGCTGCGATTTCGAAGAGGTAGGGCAGGATTGTCCGCGAGGGGCTGAGATCGAGGGGCTGCGTACCGAGGGCATAAACTGTGGGTGTAGAATCACCGGTGGTGGTGGTGGTGGAGGAGGAGGTGGAAGAAGCAATGGCAGACTTGGCGGGGGCGGAGGCGACGTAGTCAGCCGAATGGGTCTGTCGAGTAAAGCCCCGGGTCCATGAAATTGTAACCACGTCGGCTGCGCTCCATGGGTCCAGGTAATGTACGTCTGTACAACTTGTTCCGACATGATTTGAGCAACTCAGGCATGACTTCACTGCATGGCAACGACATCTCCCAAAACGACAAGCAAGATTAAGTCACGTGCAAGCAAGCAAATATCATGTGATCAACAACTCGAACCGTACCCACCGCCGCAGCTTACCATTTAGTCCTCCGATGGTCGCGGCTGCATTTGACGACCGTGTTCCTAGCCGCGAGACTCAAGTTGTTGATAGACCTTCCATGCCTGCTTGACTTCTTCAATCGGCTTCTGAAGAAACCGAGCTATGGTCTTATAGGTGGGCCTGGAATCCTTGTCTTTCTTCCGTCTCACCATTTCATCCAGCTCACCCTGTGTCCATGCCGTGAAAGGTTCACGGTATGCATTGCGAAGTGCAATGGTGAATTCTTGTAGAAGTTCCCTAGGACCATGAACCACCGTAGGTGACGGCCGGAACGACGAGGCACCTGGATGCGGACGTACCGAACCATCAGAATCCGAATCAGGTGTCGTAGGCGTCGTTTGTCCTGGCTCTCGGCCACCGTGTGCAGCGAAGGGAGCAAGTGGACGAGGTGGTGGCAGTCGATCCAACATAGATTCGGGCCGAGTACCAGGGTTGTGGTCACTAGCATCACGATGTGCCGCTCGAGGCGGGGACAAAGCCGGTATGTACCAGGTAGATGACGTGTCCAC